CTCCTACTCCTACTCCTACAGCTACTGCTACTTCTGCTGCTACTACTTCGTATTGCTACGACACTTACGACTACCACTGTCACTACCACTAAGACTACCAGGACGACGAAGTCGAGGACTGCTGCCAATGCCGCTTACGGAAACGATTCTGATGGTGGTGTCTTTGATGACCGCCATCGTGATTGTCACCATTGTCAGCATTATGTCGCTGATTGCTGGACTGGATGAGGACCGATGGCATCAGTATGAGTCGTGCGAACCTCAACTAAACACGGGCCATGGTGACACTGACGATGACCGTGGAGATGGTGGATTTAGACACCAATCCTGTTTCTGAGATCAATCAAAACATGAGAATCACTTTCCGACAAGAGTGATAATACAATGACGATTGTTTTGTGTTGCGCATGAACTTTGAGCTTCGGGCGAAGCCTGCCTTCCAGAATGTCGCGTACTTCGGGATGCCCCAAGGTTCAGGCATCCCAGGCGTAAGCCTGTCCTCACGCAGCCTGCTGCATCTGAGACAGTTTAAGGTAAGCATGGGTAAGCGGCCGAGCTTACGGGAATCCTCACAGTTGCACTTTGCGGAACGAAACCGACCATTATGACCACGATGTCATCATGGCTGCTCCATTATCCTCAGCAGTAGAATCTCATCTTCATTCATTGCCATTTTCATCATCAACATCAACAGCAGCTGCAGCCTCATCATCTTTAGCAGCGTCCGTGCTGCGTCCCCAGCGTCCCCATGATATGACTACCGCCACCAACATCATACACTTCATCAATATTACCGTCAACATCGTCATCATCACCACAAGCGCCATTTCCGCACGACCATAATGTCGCTACCGCCAAGTTGGTTGGAGTGGAGTTAGGGTATTCAAAATCAAGGAAGTATGGCGAAGATAAGTCGGCTCTTCGGACACAGCCTTTCGGCTTATGACAGTCCCGACCTGCCGTGCTAACATTCATAATTTCAGAAGAGATCGACGTGACTGGCCTGGCCTATAGAGGCCGTCGATGAACTTGGTCTTGAAGCCGCTCACTCTGAAAGCCACCGGAGTTTGTCCTGCATTCGCCGAGCTCGCCACAGAGCTGCCTTGGTTGCCGGCACAGGCATGTCACGGTATTGCAGGTATGGGGCCGCAGGAGCTGAAGCAGCTTGAAGTTGAGGTCATGAGGCTGTATCAAGACTTCGCCCGCCGATCAGGCGTGTGAATCATCGCAGCTTATGCTGGTGTATGTATATATATATATATATATCCGAAGTTTGGGCATCGACCTTCACGGTGTGATCACCGGTATGGCAAAGCAGAACACTATGTGGATGTTCAAGCCTGGCTCCACTGCAGTAGTCCTACGCCCTGCCAGGATTGTATGGCATGCTCCCTGAACAGCTCAGCCTAGCGGTATGCCGTAGAGGCTACTATGCAAGTAGAGTTTACAACTCCTGCTCCAAAGGCGCTGACTGTAATTGCCATGATGCTGATGAAGATGACGATGACTGTGACGATGACGACCATGACGATGATGATAAGGATGATGGTGATGGTGACGATGGTGGTGATGTTGATGGTGGTATCATCTGCATCGTCACCATCATCATCATCATCATCATCACGCAGGTGCTGCTGCAAGTACACATATGGTGCTATGGACACCGGCACATGCTAGTCTTGCCACTAAGTTGTCGCAGTCGCGTCTGTCCTCTCGTTCTCGATCCAAATTTTAGTGTTGATGCTGTGCTACATAACGGAGCCGGGCCACCGTTACCACCGTTCTCCGCATGCGCAGCATCAGCCAATGCTCTTGGCACCTGCGGAAGAAACTGTGACGCAACTCGTCAAATGAGAAAGCTGTTTCTGATGTCTCGACAAGGACTGTCCATGGCCATTTCTCCCTATCCTCTCCTTGCCCCTTCCAGTTTGTAAGGCAGAAAATCGCAGAGCCCGAATTATCCAAGAGCTTTTGTGGCTTCGGCATAAAGTTGCACTCCCCAAACACCCAGAGGCGCTTCAAAAGAATTGTCGGCAGCAAGCACTTCTGAGGCTTAACACTCCCGACTCCTAGCATTACACAGTGAGGTCCCCCGTATGCTGGCTTGCGTGGAGCTTAGCAACCTGCATTCGCGAAACCTCCTAGACGTCGCAGCAATTCCCCGGGGCGGTCCAAAGCCCTTCCCATATCTTCCCATGCCGCATCAGGGATACAACAAAAACCCCAATGTCGAGGCTCTATTCTACTGGGTTTTGCCAACACTGCGAAGAAAGAAGAGGGGAAGGAAATCCAACAGACGCCAGGTCTGAAGCGCTGCCCCGTTGCAGCAAAAGGAGGAGAAAGGAGGAGGAGGAGGAGGCGAAGTAAAGCAGGAGTAGCACGCGTTGCGTACTTGTAGCAGCAGAAGCACCACCAGAAAGAGCACCGGCATGGCCTCTTCGCGGGCCACCTCCTGCCTCTTCTTCACCTTTGCGGTTTTCTCTTCGCTTGAACTGGACCTGTCCCTTTTCTTCTTCCTCTTGGCGGGCTTCTCATCGCTGGAGCTGGAACTGATCTTCTTCTTCCTCTTCCCCTTGGCAGGCTTCTCGTCGCGGGAGCTTGAACTTGAGCTGGACTTTCCCTTCCTCGCTTTCTTGCGCTTGACTTCTTTTTTGGTCTTCTTCTCATGATCCTCCTTCATTTTTGCCTTTTTGTCCTTCTTTGCCTTCTTGTCATCCTTTATCTCCTTCTCTTTCTTGTTAGCCTGCTGCTCGGCTTGGGGTGGTGGAGGATCTTTTCTGACCTTGTTACGTGAAGCTGCTCCGCTGGCAGGACGTCCAAGCGCTTCTGCCAGCTCTTGGCGGAGGCCGCGGGCCCAATCTGCTCTGTCCTCGCACGCGACAGGGTTCACGAAACCTACACTCTACCTGTTGCTGTCAGGCTTGCGAGGACTTTATAGAAACTTTAGAACCGTCACCTTGACTGGAGGCATCTTGCTCCACCAGCTCCATTCGATCGGATGGCCTGGCCTCATGGCAACACGCCGGGCAGATGATCAGACTGCATGCCGTGCCAAAGGGGCAAACCTACGGAAATCTCGGTTCATGCCTCCAAGGTGCGAGATTCCAAAGTGGCCTGATTTCCGGTCCCTCGCATCTCCAGTAATGATTTTGGCGCACCTAATCCTGAAGAGCCCCAACTCGTCCATCCAATCGATATGAGGGTCCATTTTACCACCACAGCGTGGCACGCCCTCAGCGCAGAGTCATGCTGCCGCTTGACTTAATGAATCGACGCAGGGCTACTCTGATTCTGGCTTCCGCATCTGTGCTCCAAATTTAGAGCAAAACCCCAAACCCTAAACCAACTTGGGTACTGCCCCCATACCGTAACAGTCTATAATAGAGCTATTATTAAGGGCCTAATATATCCATAATATAAACATTATCCAACTGTTGCTGAGTGGGGGCAGTACCCAAAAACCAAGCTTCATGACCAAAGAAACTAAACATATTATAGGGGAAAAATATTTTTCCCTATAATATGTTTAGTAAACCCTAAACCCTACACCCCATGACCCCAGAAACTCGACCGTTACCTGTCAGCAAAGGCTCGCATTCTTCCGGAAGCGCTGGCCGCTCTGGACGGTCCATGCCGCTGCAAACGTCGATACTGCACGTTTGGGCTGTATACCTATCTATCTGTCTGTCTATCTATCTAGATA